AGGAAGACTTTTTGCACCAAGGGAATAAGAAGGCAGTGACTAATCTTTATCCTGGCGAACTGTTGGCTCTTCATGCCAATTGACTGTTGTGGGATAATTCCTCAAAGGCCCCAGTGCTCAATTTACAGAAAGCTTAGTTTTTATAGAATTTAGAAGTAGGAGGTGCAAAGCAAGTGACGAAATGTTACATAATTGTTACATGCATTGAGTCATATATTGACAGGTAGGCTAGTCTTGAACAGATTTTTTGAAATAGAGGAATTGTTTATCATGATATGGAAACACTCTGGGGAACAAGGGGAGGGGGCCCTTATGATATAGGGTAATGAAATTCCCAACCTACTAGATGTCTGGTACAGGTTCGTGTCCTCAAAAATTGAAGAATGAATTTTAAGAACAATAATGTTTAACAGCAGAATATATTTATTGAGAGAAACAAAGCTTCTGTCTGGGAGAGAGACAGAGGGGATCCTGACTCTGTCTTTTCAAGGGACTTTTATAGAGCAAAACCATGAGGTAAGATGGGTCCAAGATGGGGAAAACATAGGAACTTGCAAGGCAGATGGGCATGAGGTGGGAAAGAACCAATAAGATTAATTGTTCAGGTAAAATTGACCAAATTGGGGACAGATGGGGAAGCGAGATCATGTAGTAAGTGGGCATGCTTAAAGAGCAGTGATTATTCCTGTAGGAGGTTAGGATGTTGACTCCTTGCTTCCTCAAGGTGATCCATAACTATTTAGAATACCAATCCCTGATGTTTATACTTAGGGTGTAGTTACATTTGTTTTGCCTTTTGTCTTGAGATTTGGCACATAGCAGAAGTGACTGTCTCCTCCAAGGTTGTGAGGTATCTGGTCTTCTGCACTGTCCCCTCTGAGGACCCAGCCCTGTCTGACTGTCTATAATATTTCTAACTAACTCAGCTGCCTGTTAAAAGATGATCTGCTGAGAGCAAAGGAGAGAGTAAAATTATTATAAATAGCTAAGTTAGAAATACTATAAGCAGTCAGATAGGGCTGGGTCCTGTAGAGGTCAAAGCAAAAGACAACTGTGGCTGGAGGCATAATCACTAAAGGGAAGACTTTAAGGAAAAGAACTACTCATCCCTATACTTCTTCTAGGGAGGAACAGCAGTAATTGATAGTCTAAGTAGGTATCAATCATTTTAGGGTGGAAGACTAAACCTTAACCCAAGGACTTCCAAGAAAGTCCTTGTCTGTCTCAGATGTGCTTGTGCCATGATTTGTTTCTCCATTTAATCCCTAGTTAATCAATATTACCCATGTAACTATACTTATTTTATACTTACTGGTTGACAACAGTTTTGCCCCACCACATATCAATCCTGTATTTTGCCACTGGATCAATATTTCCTAAATAACTACTTGTATTCTTATTGATCGTGCAAGAGTTTTGGCCCAGACAGGACACTGTAGCTGGTAAAGCCTCAGGTGGAGCCAAGGAGCTCCATCTCCCCCACTCCTAGGAATTTACCTATGGCTCTATCTTCCCCACCCCTGGTGCCAAACGAGTGCCAATGAGATACCTGTGCATTCCTAATGCCCCCTCAGGCTCCACCCCAAACCTAAGCTACATGTAAGCCTCCACTCCACGTGTCCCATGGAGAGATCGCCGGGGGGGGGGGGGGGGAATGCTACCCCCCAGGGGATCGAGGTGTCTCTCCTCGAATTCTTAAAATAAAGGTCATTTATATTTCATACTTCTTATCTTCTCAGCCGCCACCCCCATAATTCTATCAAATTGATTATGGTTCTGTCCCACCTTAAGCCCATCTTACCTCCTAGATTTGCTCAATAAAACACCTTGTGGGGTTTGGGGTTTAGCTCAGTGGCACAAGCAATTGCCTGGCAAGTGCGAGGTTGTGAGTTCACCCCCAGTACCAAAAAAAAACCCAAAACAAAACAAAACAAAAAAATAGAACAAAACAAAACCAAAAAAAAAAAAAAACCAAACCCAAAATACCCTTGAGAAGCAAGGTTGATGAGCAACCCTCTTTCTGGGCCCTAGTTTGTCTCCCAGACAGAAACTTTCTTTCTCTCAATAAATTTATTCTACTCTAAATCTCAATTTAAGAGAACATGTACTTGACATTTTGGCCATCTAACATGTTGGGAATTTCATTCCCATATATCAATTTTGGTGGGTGGGCCCCCACAGGACATTGAAGAGAGGTGACTGGGATGGCCAGGCCACCTGAAAGACCCAGGTGAGATTAATGGATATGGATTTAGGTGAGATTTCTCAGCATGCTTGTGGATGTTTCTCCAGCAATATCCTACTGGTATTGTGTAAATGGAGAAGCAGAAGAGTACGAAGTCCTATTTTGTTTTTTCAAAAACTGTATGGATACTTTCCAGTCAAATGCTCTACCAATGAGCTACACTCCCCTGTATGGATACTTTGTTTTGTTGAGATATTAGATGGGTCTAAACAAAGATAGACAAGACTTGTATTGCATCCTTTTAATGGTAATTTTTTTTACAGTGTGCATAATTTTACTCCTATGGTTAATTAGTACTGCAAGCTTATCTGTTTTAGATTTAGTTGGAACAACAGCTCACTGAATCTGTCTTTAATATCTTCATTGTACAAGTTCCATCTAAATGTTCTTTCAAGGTAAAGCAGATTGATTTATAAATTATGAGTGTATTTTTAAAGTTGTATGAATTAACATTTCTCAAAAAATACTTGAACCAAAAGTCACATCCATTATGAAAACCAAATTCTTAATTCAGACAGTCTCTATTTTTAGCATTTTGGCATTCTGCTCCTTAAAAAAACTTTAGGAAGCATTTGGCATAAACCTCTCATCTCTCTCTTTTGTTTTATAGTGTTTACCCAAGCAGAGTTAAGAGCATACAGACTTCTCCCTGTTTAGTCAATAAGATATAAAATGTTTTTTATTTTAATTATAACAATGACTAATGAATGTATTAAATAAAGATATCTACTATTTTCTGATCATTGGGCCAATAAGATTCTTACTACAGGGTCCAAATCTGGTATCCGGCTTCTAGGTTTTTTGTGGGGGGCAGGCATGTGTGTGGCCTTGTATGTGTGTGTTGGAGACAGGGTGTTACCATGCAAAGCAGACTGACCGGTAACCTGCAGTTATACTCCTGACTCAGCCCGTCAAGTGCTGGAATACAGGCATATGCCACCATGCCTGGCTCTGCCTCTGTTTTGCAGACTTGAAGAACTTTGGTAGCGATGGTTTCAAATAAGAAACATAAACTCTGAAGTAGATAACAGGAAGTTAATTTATACCCACAAAGTTAACAGTGTTTAGTAGCTAGAATATTTATATTGGCAATTTTATCTTATAGATACATCTATGGAAGAAGCCAAATCTTTACCTAAAGGGTACTTGAAAGTTCACCAAATACTATATACTAAAACAGACTGAAGGACATATTTTTAGAAGAGTTGGTGGGACTGAGAATCATGACCTCTCGTGGTTGTGGGCTGAAATTCTGCAGGTATGGCTGGAGACTACCGGTACAGACTGGTTCAGTGTTTGGAGCCTCTTTTTATACCTAGCTTAGCTTTTTAAAAACATGTTAGTATTACCTATTCCATCTTTTGGTTATACTTTGCTGTTGAATGTTTAAAACCAAGTGAAAGTAAGAATTGTGCTAATCAAAATTAATCTACCCATGTATTTGCTAAGGTCAGTTAAGTTTCCCCCGAGGTAAGTTACTTTTGGAACTATGTGTTCCACTATGTGGAGCTCGTAGCTCCTCTAGATTTTTAAAATATACTATTCATGTTATTGCTAGAATGGATCATGATCTTTGCTTCACTGTATGAGTTTCCTTGAAATCACAGGGACTTTCCACTCTTTAGTGAGCCTCCTTTGTGAAAAATGTCCTTGGTTGACTGGAATTCAACAATTCTCCTTCTCAGGTGCTTGGGTGACTCTGAATTTGCAACTTAATTTTAGAGGGGTCCCATCACAATGCAGAGGCTGGTTGACCTTGAAGGGAAAAGTCCAAAATATTGGTTGTCCTCTAAACCTTTTATTTTTTTAAGCTTTAATCACTAAGCCCCAGTTGTTAAAAACTCAGAAGGTTAACTATACCAGTCTTGAAGTAGGAGCATTAGTTCTTAATTCTAATTAATATGATCCTTTCTGAATATCGGGAACTTTGAAATGCAAAGTATGACTCTAGATTGACACAGTATCTTCTGAGGCCCTCCTTGCCCTGGCGTGTGGGCCAGTTTTGGAATCTGAAAATCCCACTTCCTCTGTCAGTGAGGCTGGGGGAGCTAGATGAAGGCTGGCCCTGGAAGGAGTCAGTGCACAAGACTGCATGGACTGCAACTGCGGGAGAGGCAGACACATCTGCTAGGGCCAGACCGCAGGACAAAGATGAAAGGAATGCCCCCACATACTTCCCCTAAGGACAAACAACAGTGACTGATATTCTAAATCCGTATTTATTACCTCAGGAAAAACAGCCTCCCAAACCATGAAAAAGCCCCTGCTATGTTTCATGCCTCCTTGCTACAAGATTTGCTTTCCCATTTGAACTTCACCGAATCCAAATTACCTAGGCAATTCTGCCTATAATCTTATTGGTTGACCATCGTTTTGTTCCAACTCATGTTCACCTTGTGATTTCCCATTTTTTCCCACCTTGGACCTGCTTCGCTTCATGGTTTTGCTCTATAAATAAAGCCCTGAGAAAAGGCAGGGTCCTCAGCCACTCACTCAGAACCCCTTCTGTCTATGTCTCTGGCAGAAGCTTTCGTTCCCTAATAAATATGTTTTCTGCTCTTAATCTCCATCCTTCCTGGAATTTATTCTTTGATTTTAGAGAACATGATCTCACACCAAACATCTAGCTGGTAGAGAGTTTCTTTCTCCCATATCAATTTTGGCAAATGGGGTCCCCACAGGGGAAGAAGAGTGCCAAGTCCTGTGTTTTTTGTTTTTTAGAATACTCTATGTATACTTTGTTCACTTGTAATATCAGCTAGGTCTAGAAAAAGACAGACAAGACTTGTATTGCATACTTTTTAATGATAATGCTATCTTTTTTTTTTTTTTTTACAATATATGTAATCCTGTGGTTAGTTAGTATTGCAAGCTCATGAGTTTTAGACTTAGTTGGAATGTGTGCTTCTTAGGTGGGGAAGAGTAATGGCTCATTTAATCTGTCTTTAATGCTTTCACCATGCCAGATCCATCTAAATGTTCTTTCAAGGTAAATAAATTGATGTATAAAGTGTGAGTGTATTTTTAAAGCTGTATGAATGTAGCATTTCTCAGAAAATAGTTGAACCAAAGGTCACAGTCATTGTGGATACTAAATTCTTAATTCAGACAGTTTCTAGTTCTATAATGCACGTTGGCATTCTGTTCCTTAGAATGTTTTATATTGTTCAGTGAAGAGTTGTTAAACTGTTTTAGTAAGTGACTAAAGAGATTAAGGCATCAGATGCCTACACAACAGATGTTTCACTGAGATCCATTTGTTTTAGGATGGTCTTTTGCTCTGTTTGAAAAATGTATGATTGGCAAATAATGGTACTATTCTAGCTTAATTCTTTAATGCTAAAGAGCTGAATGTACTGGAGATGTCTTGGAAAATCAAGAATTTAGGCTGATTTCACTAGCATTAGTTCTATCTGGTACTGAAAAATATAGAGGTAATAGCAAGTAATGAACACATTGGTGAACCTAAGGCTTTGAAGAAAAAGTAACTTGTTCAGGTTCTGTGAATGTTATTTGTAGGTGAAACAATGTGAGTGTGATCTTTCACTTAACTACTTCTCCCTTCATTTGTAAAAGAAGCAAAATGAGCTGCAAAGTTAAAATCCTGCTGTTACACTTGACAGCCCCTAAGATACTGAGAAACATCTTGCTTTTGACAATGGTTTTTCCATGCCTCCCTGTAAAGAAAAGTGAAAAACACGTAGAGTTACAACATGTCTTCTCTGTAATAACCATATTTCAAATACTTGAGGGCAACAACATATTTTGTCAGTAAAGTAATATAGGCTATAGCTCTACCTTACTGCTGTACACTAGCAAAAAGAGCTTCCTTATGTTTGTGTTATGCCAAAGTACCTGTAAGGCAAGGTACTGTTCTTTTTTTCCTCTGGGTGACCTAATTGATATGTTAATCAATGCTCCCCTCTGTAAAGAATTGTAAATCCCTGGGAAACTAACCTAATTGACATGTTAACCATTGTTGCCCTCTACAAATAACAGATGTAGTGCTAAAATAAGTTGACAAAGGATTGTTAATTACTGCTAGACTACTCTGTCCTCTGCTAAGGGAAACAAAGGTCTTCCTCATCTCCTTAGCACATTTCCTGATCCATGCCCATAACCCCTTACTTTGTAAACTGTGGTATCTACAAAAAGGCTGGACAGTTTTGGGGGGGGGGACATACAGCTTTTGAAAACTCCAACTGCACTGTGTCACTGGGTCCAGGATAAAATAAATCAGTGCTGCTTTTTTAAAAAAATATGTCCTGCCTCAATTTTTTAAACTCTAGTTTTGGGGGCTCTGGGGGGCTCGTTTGTGGATTACAAGACTTGCTATTGCTATCTATTGACTAGAGATATTTAAATAGACTTCATTCCTCCCCAAGTCCTTAGCAGTACACAGAATGCTGAAATATTGCATTACGTTTATTGCACATTTACTTATCCTACAAATAATTTCAAGATATTACAAGGAACTACTATAGTGTGTAGAACCTTAAGAATATTAGAAATCCCCTAAAATAAATGGTAGATTTGAAAAGGAAGATTCTGAGTAAGGTAACGTAGATTGTTTCTTGAGAGATGGAGAAAAAAACATTGTTTCACATAAGTCAAAAGTATAAGTTTTGGCTCCCAGAACAATGCACTTTTGTGTTTACAAGCTCTTCTAGTTGCACATATCATCAAGAAATGTTTCATCAGTTAATTCTTAACACATACCATTCTTTGATGCCTTTTGGATTGTTGACCACCTTCTTTGCACAAGCCACCGCTTTAGTGATGTCATTTTGCAACAAAACTGAAAGAGAGATGATGAGGAATGAGGACTGTATTGGAGCTTCACTTTAAGTTAGATTAATCCAAATGAGTAAAAAACGCCTTCATTTATCACATTTGGCATGAAATAAAGCATTCTGCTTCTATGAGCTAATGTCATATGAGGTCATATAATTCACTCATATTACTACAAATTGCCTACTTCTGTTTTATCCAGTTCTACTGATAATTCATCCTAACAATAAGAAACACATATGTATGTATGCACAATGCTGTCCATAGCAATTTATAAAAGGAAAAATATAGATAAGTGCTTAATAGCTAAGAGTTGGATCAATAAATTATGGTATTCACATGTTAAATCTATTCTACCTCTTTATTTTCTTTTAATTTTAGGTGCCAGGAATCAAATCATGACCTTTTACTCGCCAGGCAGCCACTGTGCCATTGAGCTATATCCCCTGCCCATATTCAACCTCTTTTAAAGCTATAACAGATTTACACTTGTTGATATAAAATAATTTTATGTGACAAGTAAAGAAGTATATATGGTAAAACTTAATTTTTGTAAAAACACATATTGCTTATGTATTTGTATACAGGCTCATATGGGCATGGTATAATCTTATTTCTGTGTACTTGATTGATTGACAATTATTAATTGATAGATAATTATTGATTGATAGAGAATTATTAATGTAGAAAAAAGTGCTCTTTGTCCACCATCCTGTAATAAAAGTGCCTAATAAAATTCTCCTTGGAGATTCTGCTAGTGATAATTTATCTTAAAGAAATAAGAAGTTCACTCAAACACATATACACAATGTTCTTAGCAGTTCATAAAACGGGAAAATGGAAATAAACTAAATGCTTATTAGGACAGCTGGATCAAAAAATTATATAGTACTCATATACTACGATTCTATTTACCCACTTTATTGATAACACGGATTAGTACTTGTTGATATAGAAACTATTTTCTGTGATAAGTGCACTGTAAAGCAATATATATAATGAAATTTTAATTTTTGTATAAATACACATTGCTTCCCTATTTGTAACTGAGTCCACGTGCGCATGATATGATTTTACTTGTACAAACAAGGTTGCTATGTTTTCCAACAGAGTATACACCAAAAATTACACTAGATATAAATCTCTGTAAAGTATAATTTTGGATGTTGGTTTTTCTTGCTTGCATTTTCTAATTTGTATTCAATGATATATAATATATATATAATATGATATATATTTATAATACAATAGGAAAAATTCCAAAAGTAAATCAAACAGACTAAAAACTTCAAAATTGCCCTGTCCCTTGGGTATTATAATATTTAAATAATTAACAGTATCAAATTAGCAATATTGATAAGCTTTTATGTGATAAAGATTGCACATGTAGTTTCTACTTTAATAACAATGCCTTTGGCATGTAATAAATTCTGCATGTTCCTTTGCTATACAATAAAATGAATTTCATCACAAATGAATAAATCCAGTACTAATGATACAGCTCAATGGCACAAGCACCTGTCTGTCAAGTGCAAGGTCTTGAGTTTTGATATCAGTCCTGATACAAAAACAAACAAACAAAAATACAATGAAGGAAAGAAAAGGAAAGGCAAAATGAATAAATCCAGAAGTTAACTTTCAAGTGTGATAGTGATTATATGGAAACTGATTTTTTAGGAAAACAAAAGTAAATTTACAAATAAAATATCAAAGAGTTACTGCTGCATATTAAAGCAAAAAGTTCTATATACTACAAAATGTTACCTATAGTCACTACTAAAATTTTATACGTATCCACTGTCTTATTTTTAATTGATTACATTTCATAACAGAAGATAAGATCATCACAAAAAGACCTTACGACCAAACTTTTCTTGAACTGTCTCTCTGTAAACAGGAAGTATGACAGTGTCCTCTGGAAAAAGCTTCTGTAAGGCTTTTTAGAATAAAATCATAAAGAATTGCAGAAATGTTTGAATGTTTTAAAACATCAACATTTATGATATTGCCTCTTCATTTTATTCTTTATTTTTCATTTTGTCATGGTGAGGATGGAGCCCTGGGACCTGTGTTCATGTTACGCAGCACTCTGTTATGTTCCAGAGTAAATTTCTCACTTATGGGCTTTTGAAGGGGAAGAAGCCACTGTCTTGTAGTTGGCATGCAGTTTCTCTAAGATAATGCATATGTTACTGCCACTGACTGTATTCTGTGTAGGCAGATAGGTCCTGGCCATCACATCTGCCGTCTCTTGTCTTACCGTTGCAGGATATGCCACAGCCATTCACTGCTCCTGGAGTTTTGCCATCGTCACACCAGGATCGACTATTGATCTGGAATATTCCATAATTAGTGCCTTTGTTTCCAGGATTGTACTTTGTAGCTTTTGTATTATATTTACTCTCCCATCTGACCAAACACGTCCCTGAAAGAAATTATATTTTATCATAAAGAGCAACACTAAGTGATTTATACCATAACCCATACCAGTGCTATTCAGCTAACTCTAATTTATGAAAATGTACTAAATTTATAAAGTATTTCAACACATTACTTATTTTTGTTGTTGTTTTGAGACAGGTTCCTGGTATATTTCCAAGGGTGGTCTCCTAGGCTAAGATTACTCCCCAGCCTCTCAAGTTCTGGGATTACAGGCATGTGCCACCACCAAACATGACTAAATACCATAGTTCCAAGGGCCCCTAAAAGAATCTTTAGGTAGTGCAAGTCAATTTGTGATACTGATAAAGCAATGGAAAATACATTTAAAAAATTTTAAATGATTGTTTCTCCTACCACTTTTACTTTCTTTCTAATCTCATCCCTTGGCAAACATTCAGCTTAGAATAGATGGTCAGTAGAGTTGTTTAGTAAATTTAGTAAGTTTACAGTGGGTAAAAATGCTGACACAGAAATGCCTGAGTTGTGCAGTGTGTGTGTGTGTGTGTGTGTGTGTGTGTGTGTGCAGACTGGGGACTGAACCAGGGCCCCATGTATGGCAGGTAAATTTTCAGGGCTAAGCTGTACTACTATCCTTTTAAATTTTATTTTCAAGTAAGTTTTTCTATGTAGCCCAACTGACCTTGAACTTCCAGCCCTCTTCCTCAGTTTCGGTAGTAGCTGAGGTTACAGATTGGTGCGACTGAGTCAGGCTGAAATATGCTTTTATTAGGAAAGGTAAGGATTTCTTGGAGGGGGACAAATTTTCCTATAATACCAAGGTGAATTTACTTGTCAAATTAGAATGTTGACAACAAGAACTAAAGAATTGGAAAGGCTATTCTGTAATTTTATTCATCCGTCTCTGCATCTGTTCACTAACCTTTCTAAAATAGTTAGTGAGGAGGAAACGCTTGAATTCAGTCAGAAAGAACAGCGCTCATACTGACAAATATGAAGTAAAGTGGAAAGTTAAACTTCCCTGGACACTCATGAATTGCATAGAAGAAGATGAAAAAGAGTCACTGTTGAGAAAATAAGAAGAGTATAATTTTTTGGTGAATTTCAGAAAACCTTTTATCAGGGACTAAAGAGGAGAAAGGCACATACTCTCAATTTTTGATTTCAATATAAATTTCAAAATTGTTTTCTCTAGAGAGCTCCATGTCATGGCAGGGAAATTTATGAAAAGAAAAACACTGTGGCAGTCTAGTCCCCCAGAGTCCAAATTCCAAGTGGGTCCTCAATGTCCTTTCCTCAGCCTACTTTGGCCTTTGAATCTGAGACTATTTAATAGGCCAGTGCAGAGCGGCTGGGAGGACATAGCAAGTTGTAGCTGGGGAAGAAAGTGTGGAATGCTTTCCATTCCCCCGCTTACTCCTTCATCCAAAATCTGATTTTTTTTTGTACCAGGAATCAAATTCACGGCCCTAATCTTGCCAGGCAGGTATTGTGCTGCTGAGATCCATCCTTGGCACAGCATTTCTGATATAAAAGGACTGAACTGACATTTTAACCGCTGTGAATATTCAAACCCACAAAGAAATAAAAGTGTCTAGTCACAAAAATGCCCTGTGACCATTTATTTTCAGTGCCTCTTCCATATGTGGCTAATGATGGGCAGATTAGGAGGAGAGCAGACTTACAGTTTGCCAGGCTGATCCCATGGTAGCCGTCCATTCCAAGACGCTTTAAAGTTCTGGCCAATTGACATCTTTTAAAGACCTTGCCCTGGACAGTCACAGAAAGGATGAGAAGCCCCAGAAGGAGGAGAGCCTTCATGTTGACTGGGAAGCCAGGTCAGTGGGCTCCTACGTTCAGCCCGTACTGGTATTTAACGTCCTTGGACTTCCTTCTTCCTTCTTTGGTTGGCTTAGCTTGTGACCTGTGGGCAAAACAGAATGTACCAACTGGTCCATCAACTTCAAAAGAATTTTTTTTTAATACTTGAAAAGAGATATTTTGTTGTTCTGAGTTTTTCTATGGCAAAATATGGGTAGTCTTTGAAGAGTGGTTCATAATGAATTGGAAACTAGCACTGTTACTCTAACAGGAAATTTTTTTATTTTGTTATGAAATTGAGTAAGTGTGGAAAAAATTATGAACACTTTGTATAGTTTTAAATCAGCTATGACTTATGACATTGACTTTCATTAAAATGATTTGTATACATTCACTATTACTTATTGATCTTCTTCACTTGAAATTGTTCTCTTTACTCTTTTCCACCAAGTGGACATAATGTGTGTGCCTGTCATTTTAAAGGGCATTCAACCTGACACCATCTTTCTCATCCAGTTTCCTACTCTGGACTTTTTGTAAGCATTATAAATTGTTTAGCTGTACAAATCAATGTTTTCTACAACAGATAAGGCCCAAGTAACCTCTTTTATTAACACCTTTTCTGCCATGCCTTGTTCCTATTCCCATATTTAGGGAATAAAATGCCATTGTAAAGCAGTAAGACTTACAGATTAATCTATCCATATCCATATAGCCAATTAATAGCTTAAAATAATCATCTCAGAAGGTTGTGCACTTATGTACTTACTTTCGTACTGATGATCAAACTCATGACCTTACCCTTGCCATGCAGGCGTTGTGGCACTGAGCTAAATCCCCAGCCTCTTTATTTTTCTTTTAAAGAGAATAAAACCAAGCAAAGCACAATAAAGCCAATCAAAGCAGAACAATGAAAGCGATACAGTGATTTCCAATGAAGATAATAGAAAGTAACAATGACTACCATAATGTCTCTTGTTTTCTTCAAAATAGCTGTCTTCACCATTGGCCATAATAAAAACAAACTAAGCAAAGAAGAATAAAATAAATCAAAGCAAAAACAATGAAAGCAATACAGGACTTTGAAACAATATAATAGGAAATCAACAATGGCTATCGTAATGTATCTTTTATCTTCAAAATAGCTCAGACATAATAAAACCAAGCAAAACAAGACAGAATAAAACAAAACCTAACAATATAATTAAAATGATGCAAAAATTTAACAGATAATAGGAAATTAACAAAGACTGCTACCTTCATGTTTTAGACATTTCCTCCCCTATAATTTTCACCATATCTGTTACACATTTTCAATGTCACTAACTCCTTGACTTTTTTATACTAGAGAGACAACGCGATTTTTGTCCATGTGACTCTGAGCAGCTTCACCCATGAGCATGATCTCAAGTTGCATTCATTTACCTAGAAGAGCCTCAGGTTATTCTGTTTCATAGCTCAGTAGCTTTCCATTGTAAACAAAATGCCATATTTTTCTTATCCATTGAGTAGTTGATGGGGAAACTACCTTTGCTTTTTTGTGGTTTTTCTCCTTTGACTTTCAGTCTGTGAATTTCAGTGAATGTGTTTTTTGTGTACAGCATATTACGTTGTCTTGTTTCTTGATCTACTCCTCCATGTATTTCATTTTACGGGTAAATTGAGGCCATCTACATTGATGGTTACAACTGGCATGCACTGGCTCATTTCTGCCATGCTATCCTCTTCCTGTTGACCCCCTCTTTTCCTCTCCACTCAGTTGCTTGCCATATTTGGTGATTCCTCTCTGCTGCTCCTCCTGGAACTGTGGTCATCTTTATGTCTCTCTAGAATATACTTCATTCTTTGTAGGGTTGGTTTGGTGATCATGAATTCCTTCAGTTGTTCTTTATAATGGAAGTGTCTTGTCTTTTCCATCAATTTTGAAAGATAGTTTTTCAGGGTATATCAATCTGGGTTGAAAGTTGTGTTCTTTAAGAATTTGAGATACTTGAGATCCAAAGTTGTCAGAGTAAAAAAAAAAAAAAAAAAGAATTTGAGATACTCCCCTTCAAGCTCTTTTTAACTTGAGGGTTTGTGTTGAGAAGTCTGACATGGTTGTGTTTCCCTGATAGGTAATCTGTTTCTTTTCTCTAACAGACTTTAATATTTTGCTCTTATGCTAAATTTCTAGGATCTTGATCATTATATGTCTCTGTGTAGATTTACTATGGTCATGGTTAACTGGAGTTCTATAGACCTTGCTTAACTGTATGCCAGGTCTCTTCCCCATGTTTGGGAAGTTTTCTGCTATTATTTCTGTAAATAGTCTTTTTTTTTTTTTTTCATCTTTTTTTAAGAGAAGTTCTCCCTATGCAGTTCAGGCTGGCCTTGAGCTCACTTTGTAGCCCAGGCTGGTCTTGAACTCGCAACGATCCTCCCACCTCAGCCTCCTGAGTGCTGGGATTACAGGCATGAGCCACCACGCCTGGCTTGTAAATAGTCTTTGTATGTCATTGGTGTTGACTCCCTTTGTGTTGACACCTATCACTCTTAAATCATTTTTCTTTACATTATCTGGCAGCAAATGAATTTTTATTTTCTGGTTCCTTGTTATTTCAAGAGGGTTTTCCTTTCATGGTCACTAGCTGCAATCCTGTCTTGAAGGTCTGAAAGTCTCTTCAGTTTCTTTGAAGTGGTCTTGCCAGCTTTCAATGGAGTTTTTAATTTCTTGGATATCTCTTTGTATCTGCTGCATGCCTTGGAATTCCTGCCTTTATTCATTCAAGGTTTCCTTCATTTTCCCATGTTCCTTTGTTTTTCATATGTGTCTTCTTTAGATATGCTCAGCAGTTCTTTCATTATGTTTGTGATTTCTTCTTTTACTTGAGATATTATTTCTGATTTGATTACTTTTACAGCCTCGTGAAGTTGTTTGTTTGGTTTAGTTGCTATCCTTTCAGAGATTCCAGGTGTGTAACTTTGATACTCTTCCATGTCTGTATCTCCCAGGCTTGTTCTGTGTGGGCTGGTGGTCTGAGATTGTCTTTGGCTCCTTCATCTTTGACATTTTCCTGAGTTCCTCTTGACAAGCCAGTTGTGGGATCCCAGACACTGCCCATGATGGTATCCATTATGCCCTATGGTTGCCCATAGGAAATAAGCATCTGCAATGGCATCCTGTGGGTGTACTGGGTGTACATGGCTGTTTTTGCCCGTGATGGCTGGTTACATGAGGGAAGCAAACACCCTGATGGCGGCAGGCACACAGGAGCTGGTGGGGCTGTTTTTCTTTACCTGTGCTATCTTCCCACAGGAGGCAAGCACCCTGCTGGTGGCAGGCATGGGTCTGGCTTGGTTGTGCACTTTCTTAGAAACAATGTTGGCACAACTAAAATAAAAAATAACGAACTGAAATCAATAAACAAATGAAATAGAACATATTCTGAATCTGCCTAAGAAGAAAAATCCTGAACCTCATAAAAATCAGCAGTGTGTCGTTTCCTTTAGTTTTCATCAATGGTAGCTTCTCTCTAATTGGCTGATAAAGATTTCCAGGTCTGGCTCTCACCTACTATTGGGGACCCTGTCTAAATATCTATAGCATCCCAGTTATTTTCAGAAGAAGCCAATTTTAGTTGTTTAGTAATGTGCATAACTAAATTTGGGTATCCCAAAGGATTGAAATCTGCTACAAAGTTAGTATTTGATCCCTTGAATATTTTTCCTACTTCAACCTGGAAGAACAACCAGTTACTATGTATGAGAGAGTTAGTCCTATAGTGATGAAATCAATTTGGGATTGAATAACCAAATATATCCTTGCCACTTATAGCCAATTGATAACAATCATACATTGTGACTACTTCCAAAGAAAAAGGTGTTTTAGACTTCTTCAGTTATAACCCATGGGCAGGAATTATAGGTAGTGATAACATTCAGTTATTGTGATAGGTAAACTTAATTGTTAACTTGATTGGTTAACAGTCAACTAGGGGTTACTAAGTCAGTCTTCCAGATGTGCCTGGGTGGGTGTTGGAGGGCTGGGGCATGTCTATCTCTGGTTCCTTCCCTTCTTCTCTGGTGCTGCTCCTCTGCTCTGCTTTCAGCTGCCATACACTGTGCAGCATAGTTGTGTCACGCTTTTCTGCCATGATTGTCCTGCCTTGGAGCCACTTAACCATGGACTGAATCATCAGAAACTGTGAGCTAAATAACCCCTCATCCTGTAAGCTGTGTCTGCAGCAGGAAAGCTGACCAACAGATATAGTTTTAGTATTTCATTTGAATTAATGAAGAAGCCATTTGAAAATAAAATATCAAGTAGGCATGATTTAGAATGCAGTTTATTTTTCCCAGAAATTTTGTATATGCTCCATGTTCTATTTATTGCCATATATACACTTTTGCTTTTTAAGGAAAGATGCTTAGAGATAATCAGATTACATTTTTGTATTACAATCATTTGTGAGTTATTAATAATTCCTAATTAATTTTATTTTTCTTTCTTTATTTGTTTATTTAGTTTTTGAGATACAGTCTCACTGTGTGGCTCAGTCTACCCTTGAGTTCACTATGTAGCCCAGGTTGGCATCAAACTCTCCGTTGTACTCCTGCCTCCGCCTCAAACTGCTAGGATTACAGGTGTGCAACTATACTCCTAGTTTATTTAGCTTATTTGTTTATCAAGTTAGAGAACCAATGATGAATTGTGGTGAGTGTTTTGGATTGCACACCTAACAAACAAGTTGACCAAGGATGTCTCTGGCATTTAACTCTTCTCCCTGCCGAAACCATCTATAAAACACAGTCATTTACTAAAGAGTGGCTATGAATCCGGTGTTAAAGGTGGTAAGCTGGAGTCCTAAGTTTATCTTTGCTCCCTTCAAATTTCTATGAAAATATCCATTTACTTTTGAAAGGTATAAGTGAGGCTGGAACACACTGTTTTTCTAGATACTGGGAGGATGATTTGAGATCTCTGTGCACATAAAGTCCAGACCAGCCTGGTCCATACCAAACAAACAAACAAACAAACACAAACAGGCAAAAACAAA